GCTTAAAGATGGTTTGATTCCTGCTGCATTAATCTGTAGCAGGAATCACTATCATCCTTTTTCTTACTGATCTTTTTCACAATCACCTGAATTTGTCATGAATCAAAGAGAGACACCAAACTGTTGTTCAGGTCTGATAAAATGATTTTTTTATGGATTTGGTCCTTCAATGCAGGTGAAGATGCAGACAGGCTGCTTTACTGCTCATTAGCCGCCTGCTTGTGTTGTTGATACTTCAGGAGATGAAGGCCTTCTCCATGCTGGTCTGTCACTAAATACCTGGAAACAACCGGAGGTTCTGGAGCTTCTCTTCACAATGTGACGCGTCCTAAATACTCTGGCAGCTCAGCGGAAACGCTTAGAGTTTTGCTTTGGGGATTGTTTTTGGTTACTTCACATTTATAGATTTAGAGGAGAATGTTTGTTTTTCATTTCACATCAAATCAAATCAAATATATTTCCAATGTTTTCAAGCTCTCTGAACTATTGTTCTGGTTGGATCTGAGCATTTATGCTGCATGGACCAATTAGCTGAGGTCAAAGTTCATGGAAAATTGTTGTTTTTTTGTTTTTGTTTTTAGCCAAGAAGCAGGATGGGGGAGTTGCTATGGAGATGCAGCCCTTAAAGAGCGCAGAGGGAGGAGAAGTGGAGGACAGAGAGAAGAAGAAGACCAGCGTTCCAAAGAAGGAGAAGAGCGTGTTGCAGGGGAAGCTGACCAAACTGGCCGTTCAGATTGGCAAAGCAGGTCCACAAATCGCTCCTCTTCACTCTTTACATTTGTTCATCAATATTATTTTAATTCATGTCCAGAGGAGCATCGTTTAGAGATGCATCATCAGGTCAATCCGGTTATAAATATTGCTTTCCAACACATTCACCTTATAATCCCAGATTTTCTGGCTGAGGAAACCAAGCTGACCTTTTTACAGTCAGGCAGGTGCAGGTGGCGCCTGACGGCATCGACTGCTGGCCTCAGAAAAGAGACGCGCCGATGGGCCTCTGGTTCAGGATATTTACCCTTCAGTTGCCTTTCTATGATGAAGGGATTTACCTCAGACAGAAACAGCGAAACAGACCAGCGATGCTCTAAGAGTTGGTAAACGTTTCTATTACCCAATTAGTAGACGATCAAAAATAAATCATTCTGATTATTTCAGCCTCAATACCAATTAGATGCCAAATACTAGACGAAGAATCTGGCTTGGACAGAAGGATATTCATTTCACATTTCTACCTCTATTGCAGCAAAATAAAGATTCAAATCAGGTTGTTTTCATTTGATTGTTCTATAATTGGACTTTAATGTTCTTCCTTCAATAAAAGCTGGGTTCTGTTTATCAAGTAAATTCACCAGTGGAGAGAAAATCGGCTTTAATCAGCTCTGGATCCACCCAGAGAGGAGCCGTTTCTCTGCCAGAGGATTCCCCACCAACGCCTCCATTCAAAATGCTGCTTCTCTTAGTCAGATGTTTAAAGTTTGACCAAAAAACAGATTTTTTTTTAGCACTTTAGCACTGAGCTGTTAGCCGTTGACAGGATAAGCTGCATTATCTCTATTTTCTCCACTTAAAAACAGCAACTTTCAGCTTCGATTCATTGGAAATATGAGCTTCAACTGGGAGATGCTTTCACAGAAGTGGAGCCTGATTACCGAAAGACCCGCCGTCTGTTTGACCTTTGCAGCAGTAACCTGCGTTAACCTGCAGCCTGAGAGCAAAGTGTTTAGTCGCTGGATCCATCAGATCTCTGCTACAATTTGATGATCGAGGCTTTAGGTGTTGGTAGATGTCAGCTCTGGATTTAAGAACAATGAAGAAAACTGGACAACCGATGATTTTTTTCCATCTCACATTGGTCATAATGAAGAAGCACACCAAAGCCATTTCTATTTTCAAGCTGATGACTGACTAAGCTCTCAGTTTGATCCTGTTAAATGAGGAAGTTATGCCCCCTAAAAAAGACGTTGTGCCTCGGGGGCTTCCTCACGGTTATTTACTAATCTTAACTCAAACTGGGTAAAACCATATAAAAAGGACTATAAAACAGAAGTAAAAAAGTAACAAAGTTTATTCCAGATCAGATTGTTACAGGACAGAGAAAATGCTTGGAGTTTGCACAAAAATCACGTCCGCAAGCGTCCGGCAAAGATTGAGCCGCGAACAAGGTCCTCTTCTCCTTCTTATAGCTCATGAGTCTATGTGTTGGATCATGCATCTTGCCTCTATTCTCAAGAATTACAGATAGCTTCCCTCTATCAGACCGGCTCCAAGATGTGTCCATATCCTGTGTATTTATAAAGACAGAAAGGCTGTCCTGATTTGATGACCTCCATACACACAGTGACGTCCACAATGCACATGATGTATAAAGAATAAACCTAACAATCCAAATATGTCCCAAAAAAGCTAAAAAAAAAAAAAAAAACACTGGACTTTGTTTCCAGGTTTGAAGATGTTTCGCTTCTGGATTTTATTTTTTTGTTGCTTTTTTTGGAATGACTGAGATGACTGAGATCTTCACCAGCATCCAAATATGATGTTTTAGACTTAGACAACGATTATAGTCATTTTGCATAGACAGAGTGAATACAAAAATAAATTTCTTGTTGTGCAGATTTCAGACAGTAAATAAGCAGCAGCTTAGCAGTGAAATAAACATTTCCATTCCTTAAAGTGCAGCAGTGATCAAATATAAACAGTGTGGGAGAAACGCATTGATATGGAAGTTCAGAGCATTAGTTTATATGGTGCAGATATGCAGTATTTTTGGTTTGGTGTTATCAGTGTGAAAATACCAAACCAAATGTATTGAGTTCCAAGGCAGAAAATGGAGGCTTCAATCTTGCAGACGTCTCTTCTGATCAGATGAACACAAACGGCACGGCAATAACAGAGATGTTTCCTGTCAGGTCTAAAAATAAAACAGAGCGGCTAAAAGCTGTTAGATCTACTGTAAATAGATGTTCTGTCAGGGGCAGATTGATTCATGAGGTGAAATTGAAAGGTGATTGAAATGATCAGCAGGAAACAGAGAAATCTCAGTTCTACCATCAAAATACCAATTGGAGCAGAAAAAAAAAAAGTTATTTAATTTCTTTTACTAATTCTGAAGGATCAGTTGGTAAAATCTGTAAAACAGCTTAATGCTTTTACTTTTTGTTTTTCACTCTTTATGCTTTAAAATAATGATGAATTAAACCAATGTTGTGTTGCTAAGTTAAAAAAAACGAACCAGAAAATAAATGAAATCAGAAACAATGTTTTAAAAGAGTCGGCGAAGACTCCTTTATAAAAATAAAAACTGTTTGTAGAAATTTGGATCAGTCAGAAATAAAAACAGAATAAAAAAAGAAATCAAACTTTAAAATCCCTCCATGAGATCAAGATTTCAGTTCAGTTCTTTGTTTTTTAACAGTGTCCTGCCTGGCGATGTGGCGATAAGTATAAATGACTTTATGCTAAAAAGAGTCCAGGTTTTACTTTCTTGAGGCCGTTTCTGCTGGCAGGGGTCGGGATTTTAACTTGGGTCAGTTGTCTTGTTGGAGTTTCTATAGAAAGTGCAAATAAGATCAGAAAAATAAGCATTAGTGCTGCAGCAGAAGGGGCCTGTTGTTTTCTATGGTAGAATCTCTGATAACTTTCCTCTTCTCTCCCTGCAGGTTTGGTGATGTCAGCCATCACTGTCATCATTCTAGTGCTCTACTTTGTCATAAACACGTTTGTTGTCAAAGGTTGGTGTAAATAAACATTTATTCCTGTTGCTCTAATGAGCGACGTTTAGCCTCAATGGCTCCATGGTGAACTGAAAGTGTTTTGTTGTGTGTTGCAGGTCGCACGTGGCTTCCAGAATGCACTCCCATTTACGTCCAGTATTTTGTCAAGTTCTTTATAATCGGAGTGACGGTGCTGGTGGTGGCCGTCCCAGAAGGCTTACCTCTCGCTGTCACCATCTCTCTGGCCTACTCTGTCAAGGTAAAGCCCACTTCAGTGTGTTTGCATCGTTTATGTGTCTGCAGCGCATTTAAACTTTCCTGTTTTTGTTTTTTTTGGAGGATTTTTCTCTGCATTCGTTCCTTTTTGGATTTGCTGTTTATTTATGTGTTTGCGGTGTGTTTGCGCCCCTCGGCCACCATAGTTATTAATCAACATGCGTTACCTGCACAGGAACTAAATCAAAACATTTTCAGTTACATAAATGTTTCCAGTCTGTGTTATTGATCCTCATGAAATCTTTTTTCGCTAAAATAAATCAGAATCTTTTTGTTTTTTCCATCTTCTCCATCTTTCTGACATCCAATAATCAAACTGTGTCCATCGTGATCTCCTGCCCTTCATCCACCTGCTGTTCTCCCCTGATATCACCAGAAAATGATGAAGGACAACAACCTAGTACGGCATCTGGATGCATGCGAGACCATGGGCAACGCCACGGCCATCTGCTCCGACAAGACCGGCACGCTCACCACCAACCGGATGACTGTGGTCCAGCTTTACGTAGGTGAGACGGACCAAGCAGGAAGATAAACGCCCTTCATGTCTGCAGTTTCACACTCAGGGATGGCTCGTTTTCATCTGTGGTGCATTTTAACTCTTTTCCTTGGATTAGTGAGAAACGTACGGAAGAGGATTAGGGCCACTGAAAAAAAATTTTTTAACTGATTTTTTTAAATTTTATTTCAGTATAGTATGGGAAAAAAGTCAGAATTCTGACTTTAATCTCAGAATTCTGACTTTTTTCTCAGAATTCTGACTTTAATCTCAGAATTCTGACTTTATTCTGACAATAATTAAAGTCAGAATTCTGAGATTAAAGTCAGAATTCTGAGATTAAAGTCAGAATTCTGTGAAAAAAGTCAGAATTCTGAGATTAAAGTCAGAATTCTGAGATTAAAGTCAGAATTCTGAGATTAAAGTCAGAATTCTGAGATTAAAGTCAGAATTCTGAGATTAAAGTCAGAATTCCGACTTTTTTCCCATGTTAAATTGAAATAAAATTTAAAAATCAGTTAATTATTTTTTTTTTTTTTCAGTGGCCCTAATCCTCTTCCGTAGAAACGTGTCATTTTTTACTGCTTTGTGTGAATCCGGCTTATTATCATCATACATTTAAACTAATAATAAAACTTAAACTGAAATGGAGAAAAAAACATTTTCATGAACTAAATTAAAATGATAAAACTGATTAAAATGCAAAAACAATAACTTTAACTATATTGTGTGTTTGTAAAGATAAAAATGAAGCTAAATGATGGAACAAATGAAAACTAAACTAAAAATTATTTAAATAATAGTAGCTACTAAAAACTATCAAAGCAATTCTAGAAAGAATATTAAAATACATTTGGAAAATAAGTATTCTAACTAAATAAAGCTGAAGTGGAAAGAAAAACTGAAAACTGTTTAAATTTTGCTGTAAATATTTTCACCTCTGTTACTTTTTTCCTTTTTGTCGAAGAATTTCTCTTTTTTTCCATTCGGACAGTACGGAGAGTTTTAGGATTGTATATTTTTTTAGCTACAGCCTGACATGTACGATCAGCCTGAATCATTTATGACCTGCAGCATAAATCCAGGTTTTCATGCCGTCTGCATCAGAAACGTAGACTCCTGAGACCAGACAAGCATTTTCCTGTTCCTACCAGATGGGATCTCCTGGTCTGTCATCCCCCAGAGATGATGTCCTGGGTTAGGGTGCACCACCCGCCTGGTGGTTAAAGCAGTAGAGCTCCAGGATGTTGGTGCCTAAAATCTCCCCCAGCATCTAAATTCTGCTGCAGAACTTCTGAGATTTTTCTGTCAGCTCAAGATGACGACCGAAGAGTCAGAGAGGATGAGGTTCATCAAACGATTACCGACCAAATATCTGCAGCCTGCTGAGGCAGCACATCGGCAGTGTTTAATAATGTAAACTTTTTCAAACATTCACATTGAAAGTCGAGTTAAACCCAAAAAACAACCTTACACGAAAAATGAAATGATTCCCTGCATGAGGAATAGAAACAAATCTGATCAACATCAGAATCTCTGGGATTAGCTTAGAGTACTTCAGATTATGTCTCCCTGGATCCTGAAAAATCTGGTCCTTTGTGTTTTTTTAGCTGGTTTTAATGACTGCAGTTCCTCTGCAGGTATGGTTGTAGTTTTATTTCCCTTTGGTATTAAAACATTTTTTTTAAATAATTTTCAGTCATGAAGCAGATATCTGCACTAATGTGAGTCTAGCTTCAGCTAACAGGAGAGCCTTAAACTCGTCTTCTTTACCACATGGAGTAAATCGGACGTACGAAGCTGCTGATTGGCTGGTTGTGTCTGCAGCCGAATTTTTGCACCTAATAAAGTGAGTTTTTCTTCCAAAGCAATGATCCTGTGCATCTTTTTAGGTGATGCTCACTATCGCGTGATCCCAGACCCTGGACAGGTCAACCCTCACACTCTGGATCTGCTGGTCAATGCCATCGCCATCAACAGCGCCTACACCTCCAAGATCTTAGTGAGTAACCTGCAGATCCACGGCAGGCAGATGTTCTCGCTGTAGTCTGGATAGAAGAAATGAAAATGATCCTGGGAATAACGTCTGCCATCAATCGTCTCTCCAACAGCCGCCGGATGTGGAGGGAGGTCTCGCCAAGCAGGTGGGGAACAAAACAGAGTGCGGCCTTCTGGGATTGATCTTAAACCTTCAGCGGGACTACGCCACCGTCAGAGAGCAGATCCCGGAGGAGAAACTCTACAAGGTAGAAAATCTCCAGTTAAATCCGTTTGGTTTAAAAAGAAACAACAGGAGAAGAAGTTTTCTTTCTTAATAATCTCCAATAAACGGTCTTTTCAGGTCCGTCAATGGAAAGATTTATTTATTTTATATCCCAATAAATGTATTTATTGATTTTAACTGAAGCTGAGGATTTAAATGAAAATGCATTAAAATCGTTTCAGTTTTGGTTATTTTATCCGTAGTATTTCTGTGTTTGTGAATAAATTGAACCAACAGCTACTTTCCTAAAGTCTCCTTCGTGGGTTTTTAGCTTCTGGCTGAACCAGAAGCTGGTTTAGTCAGATATTCCCACATTGAGCAGGTTTCTTTATTCACTGTGAGCTTCAGCTTCATAAACAAACAGCAGAGGCAGTAAAACTTCCTCCATCCACGTTTACAACATTTGCCTCCTTGGTACCTGACAGACATATTGGCACCAAGCTACGTATTTCAACGTGAAATATCATCGATCTGGTTTCCTCTTTCTCTCGTCTCTCCTTGCATCCAGGTTTACACGTTCAACTCGGTGCGTAAATCTATGAGTACTGTAATCAAGCTGCCTGATGGGACCTTCCGCCTCTACAGCAAAGGAGCTTCTGAGATCATGCTGAAGAAGTGAGTCCTTCTTATTACGGCTGAAGACAAACTTTTTTTAAAAGCCTTGAAGCTAAAGTTCAAGCAAACGTCATAAAATCAAAGCGTTTTGTTTAGAGATGGATAGGATGGAGGATGTGGAGGATCGCAGGCGACTGTGTGATGAAAGCAGACTGGGATCAAACATAGTTTGAAGATGTCATCGGTTTTCTCTCTCAGGTGTTCCTACATCCTGGATGCCAACGGAGAAGCTCGCAGCTTCCGTCCACGCGACAGAGATGAAATGGTCAAACAGGTTAGGCTAACTCCTAGCATGACTGTTTAAATGTTTGTCAGAATTAATGATTTCATGCTGATAGCGTGAAAACATTAAATATCTGCAGTCGTTAAAAGTGTGGCAGCGGAGGAAAGATTTTTATCATCTGGAGAACATGTTTGGGGTCTGCAGAGATGTGAGCTGAACCTTTCCTGACCCTAAGAACAAGTCCTGGACAGAGGGACCGTCTCTCCTGATCAACCTGTTCTACCAACCGGATGCTTTAGTTTGCGCTGTGTTTGGGATGAGAGTAGAATCTGACCAACCAGAGTCCCCCGGTGCAGTGCATTGTTAGTGCAACCAGGGAGAGCAGAGATCAAATCCCCATTAATCAGATCTGGCTTTAAATAAGTTCAAACTAATAAGTTCTATAGACCAACTGTGGTGACCTCTCTGTTGTCTCTGTTGTCCCGTAATGGTGGGAAGCGGAGATGATTGCAGACAATCTGAGCGAAGTTGATGAGCTTTTTCACGCAGATGGGTCAGAATGTCATCAGGTCCATGAAGCTTCCTGCTCTTCTGTTTGGGAAACAGACAATTCAGATTCTTCCTAAGATGTTTGGCTCAGATGGGAGAAGAAGAAGGAGGTGATGGTGGCTAACTTTCTAAACTTCAGCACTGGAAAAACCATCTAGAAATAAGTCAAAATTCCTTAAATCAAGTGTATTTACCCATAATTTGAGTAGGTAAATGAGATAGTTTGCCAATGGAATGAGTATTTCTACTCTTAAAATAATATATTTACATCAAATGCTCTTGAAATAAGATGATGCAATTGTGATTTCTTATTTTAAGCGTAAATTGTCATGTTCCATTGGCAAAGGGTCTCTTTTACCTCATCAATCCAAGAACAAATGCACTTATTTAAAAAAAAAATGGCTCATCTAGATTTCGATTTTTTTCCAGTGAGGAGATGTTGATGATGTCAGTCCATCAGGACTAGTGAAACTGTTCAATGCCTTTCAGTTAGCAGAGAGAAGCTGACTTTTAACCTCCCTGTTCAGGTCCCATTCTGCCTGCTGTGAGCTTCTGCTCAGCTGCCTGCAGCTTCCTCAATAAAACTCTGGTTTATTCTGCACATGCTCAAACAAACCCATGGCAGAGCGTCGGTAAACGTAGTCGGGTCACTTTCAAATGGCTGCAGTCTGTGTGGTTGAAGCAGGCGGGTAACACCTGTCCAAAGGCTGAGAGGTTTTAGTTTCTGTCTGTGAGGTGAGAGGAAGCAGGCAGACATCAGTAAAGCTCATTCAAAGTTGTTCACTTTTGCTGGGACATTTTAAATGCTTTATTTATAATTTATTTGAGATGTTTGCTGTTATAAAATCTCCTGATCTCACTGATGAGAGAATCTAGATGTTGTTTTTCTAAGATCGGCTGCTGTTCAGCCTCCATCTGGAACTGATGGTAACTTCTGTTATTTGGTGCTATGCTAATTAGCCGCAGCCTGAGTGAATGAGAGGATCCAGCCCACCTTCACCTTTCATCCGCGTTACCGGGGAAACAAGCAACGATGCTAACTAATGTAGCTCCCGCATATTTAAGATAAACAACATTTAGATTCAAGGTTAAGAGAAGGTGAAAAATATTTATTTAGATGTCGGATTTTTCGCTCAATCAGCTCTACTGAAATAAACGCATCTGTGTGCTTTTTGAGTTTGCAGCCTAAGCATGATGTGAGTGAAAGGCTGACGGATCTAAATCTGGCTAATGATGAACACAGCTTATGCCGTGAGAAAAAGAACTGCTCCTTCCACAACTTGATTCCAGCTCAGCAGTTTGTGTCGTGGCAGCTTTATGTCACCTCCTCTCTGTGTCACACTCAGACGCTGGGGGTCTTTCCCTGGAGCTACGTCACATCGCATCCATCAAACCTCGTCTCTCTTTAACATATTGGGATTCCAATGATGCATGTAGCGTGTATTTGGATGTTTTCTGCCTTTTTAGACCATGTTTTTCATTACTGACTGCTAGGTGATTGAACCCATGGCCTGTGAAGGGTTGAGGACCATCTGCATAGCTTACCGTGATCTGCCACCAAATCCAGAGCCAGAATGGGACAACGAGGCTGAGATAGTGACTGAGCTGACCTGCATAACCGTGGTGGGGATAGAGGACCCTGTGCGGCCTGAGGTTTGTGATTTCTTAACTTACCTGAAGAAAACAACCAACACATTCACCTGATATTATAACTAAACGTGGTTTAAACTCCACCTAAAGACTGAAACTGCTGTTTCTTTTTGGACTAAATTCTTTGACCTTTCCAAGGTGCCGGAAGCCATCCGGAAGTGTCAGCGCGCCGGCATCACGGTGCGAATGGTAACCGGTGACAACATCAACACAGCGAGGGCCATCGCTGCCAAGTGTGGTATAATCAACCCTGGAGACGACTTCATCTGTCTGGAGGGGAAAGAGTTTAACCGACGAATCAGGAACGAGAAAGGGGAGGTAGGTTTGGTCGTAGCTTTTTTAACTGTATCAAATACAAACATGTTAGATCATTTCTCATTTCTTTATTTGTGTTTAAATCAGTCATTTCTTCCCTTATTAATCTTTCAAAGTTAGTTTTTTGGTGGCTGTAGATGTTCAGCATCTCTCAGGATCAGCTTAATGTTTCTTTCTGGACTTTTAAAAATTTTTTTTAGAGGTTT